TTTTGCGTGAAGTTGAGCAACTCTGTAAACGTTTTAAGAGCCGTTTGAACCTCCTCCTCTACTGTAAATGATGTCCATTCCTGGATAAATTTTCTGTTGAGTCGCTGGTTCTTTCCTTTTTAATTTATAATGGTTCCTTATATACTAAAGTAATTTACTCTTTCCCAGTATGATGAGTTGCAAACATTCTCCCCAGTTTTTCATTTCATTTTGTTTATGGCATTAGTTTTGTTCTTTTTTTTTTCCTGATGGCCTTTTTTTTATAGTCTGGATTCTAATTTCAACCCTGTCCCTAACTGTGGGTAACTTAATAAGCCCAGTGGTGTTTGGGGATGCTGGTCCTATTCTAAAGGGTGGGAGGTGTTTAAAATGCCCGCTGGAATGCCAATGGCCAGTCATTCAACAGGTCCAGATCGCTTCCCTGGCCTGTGGGCTGAAGGGGTTAGACTAGATGCTTTATAAGGTCCTGCTCGGCTTGGGCGTCTGAATCAGAGAAGCAGATGCCCCTAGGCCAAGGGTTTTGCTGTCCACTCTCCTAGCGGGCACTGTTTCTGGATGCAGACAAGAGAAGCATCCTCTTAGCGCAAGGGTCTTGACTGCCCTGAGCCACAGATCCTTGTCCCCTATCTTTTGGGAGAGCCTCTACTGCCACCTCCACAGGGCAACCACACAGGTGTACGAATTCAGACCTAATACTCAGTGGCCTTCAAAGCAGACGGGAGTCTGGGTTACCGCAAGCAGCCCTGAACTTCAGCCTTCCTGCCAAAGCCTCTGAAACAACACCTTCCATGTGGATAGTCCCCGAAGCCCTCGGGTTGGCCTTTGGAGTCACTCCGTAGGCTCACACTGTGAGAGCTATAATCACGCAGGAAAACACACATGATTGTGTTCCATTACCTGGATAATACCAGCACCCCAGACTTGGGGGAGCTGGACTAGGCAATAGGCTTCGAAGGATCTGGACAGTGGCAGCTGGGCTGGCCTTCGGTACTGCCATCATGGTTTTCTGGAAAAATGCTGATTTCCTTCAGCTGGTCTGCGCCCTCCCCTGGGAAATAAATATTTCTTCCTGGCATCCATCCTACAACTTCTCTGGCTACCACAGAGACAAAGAACTCCTTCCCTGGCATTGGGAATGGCTTGTTTTCATCAAAGAATTCCTCTCTGGCCTCTTGAAGAAGGTCTTGGTCTGGGTCTAACAAGTTCCTTTCTCCCTCCTGCCCTAATCCATAGTCTCGACTGACATTTTCTGAGGTTAAAAAACGTACCTCCCCAACAAAACAACAAACCCTCCCCCTCATGCCTGTCGCAAGATCCTTCCATAATTTAAAGGGCATTGGGTCTTCACAAAAGGGAATCTCCTTTTACACTCCTGGAGCTGGCCAGACATTTCTATTTTCAGGATCACTCTTTCGGATCAGAAAGAAAGAAGACCATTCTATCCCAATACGCCATTGAAATGGACTGTTCGAAGTGCCCTGGGCTGGAGCTGGGGGCTGAGGGCAGAGAGGTGAGCAGGCCAGGTGCCCCAGGGGCACACAGCCAGAAGAGCTCAGCCAAGTTCTAGTGGACAAAATTCACTGCCCTGCCTGGGAGAGGAGCCCAGTGTAGCAGGCTTGCTGATGCTCACCTTGGGAGATTCGAAGAGTGTGTTACCTTGACAAGACAAGCTGTCAGGCCAGGAAATGTCATGACCAAGGAAGCTTTGTTGGCGGCATCAAAGGGGAGCAGGAAGAAGAGGGACAGCTGAAAGAAAGGAGGAGCCCAGAGCACCTCCCAATTTGGCCAAAAGTAAAGCCTGGGTCCAGCCTTGACAGCATGTGCCTCCCAGAGCCGGACCCAAACACCCCTGGAGACCCGTGCTGTAGCCAAGGAAGTACACTGCACCAGAAGCCAGGCCAAAGGCTCACAGGTGTTACATTACTCAAAACCAGCACCCTTCCGAAGGAGAGGAAACAGGCTTGCATACGTGGAATGATTTATCCGAGGTTACCCAATTAGGAACTGGAAGCCATGATATTAAAACACAGGTCTGTTCACCCCAAGCCCACAAGTGCACTTGCTGAGTGGGATGAAGGCCAAAGGGACCCAGAAGCCTTTGTCCTTTCTCTCTACTTCCTGCCTGTCTGCTCCCCAAAACAGACCAGAAGCAGGCCTGGACCCAAAGACACAGGCCTGTTTCTCCATGAGACTCAGTGTGTCTCCATGAGACTACGGGATGTCAGAAAGCACCTGTCTCACGGGGGTTCACATGTGCTCCAAGGAACCCAGGGGGCCCTGAGGAGTGTGGCCTGTACAGCATCCAGACAAGGCTGGCCACCAGGCTGTAAGGGGGCTCGCCATCCTCAGCCAGCCCAACGCCACTGTTGTCTTATGAAACTTGCGAACAAGATGTTATTTAAACAAAGGGACTTGGCCCCAAATGTTTAAATAAAGGGACTTGGCCCCAAATGTTTACAAGCCACTGATGAAGTCTGACCACTCATAGAGCCCAGCAGGAAGATGTCAGACAGCCGAGCTGCTTTAACAGTGGAGGCTTGTGCTGTGCTGAGTACTGACCCAGGTCGCTCTGAGGAAGCCCAAGGTCCGGCTGCGTCTTCTGCTTGGGAGCATTTGTGGAGAAAGCTGAACGGCTGGGCAAACCTGCTCCTGGCAGGCAGGGCAGGCCCCAGAATGCCAGCAGCCCAGGGGTTCTGGAGCACCTGGGGGGGATTCAGGGTATCTGAGGGTCCGCAGGCATAAAGGACCAACAGAAAGTGCCTCTGTTTCAGGTCAAAAGGCCTGGGTTGGGGCAGCGGCTCGCACACAGCATGAAGGCAGTCAAAGGTCTACACATGCCTCATGCAGGCCTCTGCCTCCCCAGCGGCCAGCCAGCCAAGCGTGGGGTTCTGCACCCATCTCAGTGATCCTGTGATCCTGGATACCTTGGTCTCTCTGGGTTTCATTTTCCTCAGCTGCAAAATGGCGCCCATCCTATCTTCCTCACGAGATTGGCCCTTACTCTGGGGCCTCGTGGATGGAATTTGAACTCTTGTGCCTCAGTTTCCATGTTAGTCAAAGGCGCTTCAGAATCCCACCTACCTCATACTCTCACAGGAGTTAAATGACTTAATAAATGCAAAACACTGAGAATAGTCTTGCACAGAGCAAAAAATTACACTGCAATGTGGTACACATAATACGCATTTGAAAAAAAAAAGCTCACATTACGCTTATCCTTACTACATACAGGACAGACTTACTCATATTTCTCACCCTATTCCATGCAAATTTACCTACTACACTTTCTTTGCGAGTTAGATGCCTCCCTGTAAATTGACTTCATGACTCACCAAGGGGTCATGAAACACAGTTTCAGGGTCACCCACCTATTGGAATTTGCATTTTGAGCCCCATGGACGGCACATGGTACCCAGACCTGCTCCTCAGAGGGAGGGTCCAGGAGACCAAGGGTCTTCTGCTGGTGCAGCCTTTTGTGTTGGGAGTTTGGTTGTGAATCCCACAGATGGGGTGAGTTACATACACTATAGCAGGTCCACGAATGTATACAAACATCTGTGGGTTGCCAGGGAGTGGCGGGTCAGACCCAAATGTGGGGTCTATGTGGAGGGGGTCTGACGGCTGCCATACAACAGGTCTGTATGGCGACCAGAAGCCGCTCAAGCCAGTGTGACCAGAAATGTCTAAATACGTGTACCCACGCGAGTTAATAGACACGCACCGTTCTGAAAGAATCATAAGAGAATCCCAACAATCCAGCTGTCTTTCTCGGTACCTCTATAGACATGAGCGCTTGGCAGAAGCAAGGGTAGAAAGGACTCCTGAGAGAAGCAACCATGGCCAGGGAACCCAAGGAGGACCACAAACACCCCAGGGGAAGCTGCACCCACCTGAGGTCTGGAGGCTCTATGGACACAGTCACTGATTGGGGGAGCCACGCCAGGAGGCAAAAGGGAGGCATCCAACACCCAGAGGGACCCCCCCCACACACACACACACATGGCAGCCCCAGCCTTCCTTTGCCCCACGCCTTGGGCACTGTCCTCCAGTCAGGCTCCTCCCAGATTCCTCCCCAGGTCTCCCCTTGGCCTCACAGTCACAGAAACGTTGCAACGGTGGTGTCTCTTCTGAGTGGCTCCTTGGCCATAGCACGTAGTCCACTCATACCAATTCACGTCCTATTTCATCCGCCAGCACCCAGCACGTGTAACATTTCCAGGGAGGCCTGATCACGCCTGGGTCTGCCCATCATACTTACCACTTCATCTACAGTATTTTCTAATGTCTGATTGTCTACACCCTGAACCCGACCAGGACAGCCCGGCCTTGCTGAAAGCCTTCCAGGGACTCCCTGCTCTGGAAATCAAACCCAAGCGACCTGTGTCCTCGTCCTGTCTGCTCAGCCTCCCAGAGCCCCCCCACACACACATTGCCCCCCCTCTTCCCACACCTCCCTGAGTGCTGGACGTGGCCACACACCTCTTCCCCCAGAACTTCACATGCTGGTTCCTTCTCATTGTGCAGAACTTGGCTCAAACATTAACTATCCCCCAACAGAGCTGGCATGAGAGGATGGGCTTTGGGGAAAGCCTATGTTAGCTTCTTCCTCCCATAAAATCCTAAATGGCTCACTCTCAAAGACATCCAAATAAACTCCCAACTTAAGAAAACACCATTTTGAGACAGACCCCACAGCCCTGCTTTCCAACCAAATACCCCTCCAGACCCTTCCAGATAAAATTCAGCTTCCACCCCTGACCTTCCACTGTAAACATCTGTCATCCTTTTATAGAACTAACATAATGGGAAATCCTTAACTTTGTGTTTACCTGTTTCTCGGTTGTCTCTCCGACGATACCATAAGGTCCATGTTGGCAGAGGTCTTGACTGTCTCATTCAGGCCCGCATTCTAGAACATAGCAGGTGCTCTGCAAACATCTGTTGAATGAGTGCACTGACCATCATTTTGCCAGGCCCACAGCCAAGGCCTCCTTATACAGAGATAATTGTATCCATCACCAACACCTCCAAGTTGTTCAAGACCATCTGAAGGAGAAGGGAAGGAAAGAGCAGTAAGGGAACTAATGTTTACTGAATGCTAGACACTTTGCAAACATGATCTCATTCAGTCCTCGTAATAGTTGTAAGAAATAAATATCAGACACCCTGCTGGCAGCCCCATCCCATTCTCCTGGCTCCCACCAGCCACATACACCCCCAAGGCCTCTCTGTCAGTTGACTTATGCCCTCCCTGCCCCTCTCCCCAGGCAACCCAACCCCTCTGCGTTCTGCTCCCACAGTTCCTGCCCACCTCATGGGTCCCCCAGTGACAAGAGCAGCAAAAAAGGAGCTCCCCTCAAAAGAAACAACTAGAAATGCAGCCATGGTGAGAAGCTTCTGTCCATCAGGGCACCCCTGGTGCCCGGTGGGGTATAGACAACCGTTTACAATTTTGTGATCACAAAGACAATGTAGAAAAAAAAAATGTTCTGATATCAATGTCAAAAGAAAGAAAAGGTTGTATCTACCCATGTCAGCATGATGGGAGCAAACAGACAGGAGCTAGAAGGTGCTGGAGAAAAGCGAAAAATTGCCGTTTGGAGTGACGGAGTGGTAGAACTATACTATGAGTAGTTTTTCTCATTAAGTTTTATTCTTGCTTAAATGCTAGTCTTAAAAAGAAAATATTAGGAAGGAGAGAGAAAAGAAAGGGAGAGAGGAGAGGGAGGGGGGAGGGAGGGAAGGAGGGAGAAGAAGAGGGAGGGAAAAGAGGAAGTAGGGTAGAGGGGGAGATGGGAGGAGGGGAGGGGACAGAAAAGTGAATCCCCAGCCCATTTTTCCCAGAATCTGACTGCTGTCCACAGAGAAGGAGAGCCAGAGCAGCCCTTGCCACCAGCGGGCAGAAAGGTCCTGGTAGCCAAAGAGAGAGGCAGAGCCAAAGGGATGGGAAAGAGACAGGTGTCTAACCATGTCACCTATCCCCCAAGTGTCAACCATGATGACATCACTCTCAATCTGACCCTTAGAGGGGCTCAGCCTTCTGCCCTCACCATAGAACCAGCCTCCCAGCTCTCCCGCCTCTCCCGCATGCATGCGGTCCTCAGCTCAGTCCACACTTTACCCTTCCATTCCCTGTTTCCTGTTCCCTTTCTCCTTCAAAAGCCAACTCAAAACTCTCCACTAAAAACAACAACAACAACAACAACAACAACTCTCTTCTTCTTAGAAGCATTTCTGGATTACCTTTCACTCTGTGACTCTTCAGGGACTTGTCAAATGTTTGTCTTCCTCATACAGAATGCAACAAAACTTCAATATTTGGAAAGAACATGGGCTTTAAATCCCAGCTCTGCCACTGCCCAGCGGTGTAATCTTGGTCAAGTCGCTTAAACTCTTTGAGCCTCAGTGTCTGAAATCATCAAATGGAAATACTGATACCCCTCACAGGGCTCGTCTAAAAGGTCAGTGAGATAATATACACGCAAAAATCCCTGAAAGGGCTGGGCAGATAGGAAGTAGTCAATAAATTGTAGTTCTTACTGTAATGTGTGGCATAAAATTCTGTGAAAGCAGTCGTGCATTTGCACTCTGAATTGCATCACCTTGATAAGAAGGAGATGTGAAACTCGCTAAGGAAGAAAACTGTCCCATTTAAGTCTTATGTCTCTCCCTAACCCCATCCCTATTCTCCTCAGAGCATGCAACCCATAGTTAGCAAAGAGTCAGGTGGCCAGACTCGTAGGTTGTTGAAGTTCAGTCTTAAGACTCATCCCACCAGAGCTGGACTGCTGGTCCACCCAGCAGTTGGGGCCAGCTCAGGACTAAGGAGGAGATGGGGAGAAGGGTGGGCTCTAGGTGAAATAGGAGACTGGAGACTCTGTTTCCTGGGATTCAGTGCCTTGGATCACCAGGCCTCACATGCCTACCCTGCCCTCCTGCACCAGGAGCCTGCAGCCAGCAGAAGCTGAGACCATATTTTCTCCTGGAAGGGTCTGGAAACCAGCCCCCTGCACTCCCGACCGTCTCCCCATAAATGTCCCTGTGATGGTCTCCATTTTAAAGGCTCTTGCCAACCAGATAAGCTAGGTTAATATTAATAATAATGATGACTACCATTTATTAAGGGCCAACATTATGCCATATTATTTATAAGTGTTATTGATTTTTAAATGTTCATTGAATAACAATACACATATTTTCCCTTTTTTATTAACCAAAGACATATGTAACGGGCAGCCAGAGCTCTCGGTCAGCATGAAACAGCATCCATGAGTGCAAGGAACTGCTCTACCTCCAGCCCAAAGCTAGAACATGTCAAGTGTGGGTGCCCAAGGCAGCCTTAGCAAGCAGAGATCGGGAGATCTTGTAAGCAGCCACCTGAAAACACTGGAACTTACTATAGGTCCCTCCTCCCGAGAAGACTCCCTTGGAAGACCTCAAGTAGGGAACTGCTGAGCTCATCCAGTCATTTTATCTTGCAAATACTATGCTCCCATCCAGAGATGACAAGAGTCCTAGTTAAGATCACACAGCTGGTTTCAGAAGCTGGCCGCCTAACCCCAGCACCCTGCTCTGGGCTGGAAAGCTCAGCAGGTGGTGGTCAAGACAGTCTGTGAAGTTGCCATGCTCCACCCCTCTTGCTGGGAGTCCTTGAAGCCCCACCCCTGCGTCTCTACGCACGTGCTCCCACCCCTACCCTCTGCTCCTGGGGCTCTCTTTGACCCTGGATGCCTCTTCCTATGGGCCCTGAGCATAGTTTCCAGAACGCACTGGCTGGGTTGGAGTGCCCACAAATGCAATCCGACATAAAACAGTCTAACCAGGAATTTAGGTATAAGGAAATGTCAAACATCAAAGTACCTCCCCCCAAATTGTTTTATGAGCCCTTGCTTTACCAGCATAGATGCCCTCCTAATTAGCCCTCTTCCTGTGCCCTTGTTTCTAGCAGAAAGGGTGGGTCAAATGGGGCTGCTTATAATACATACATATTACTTACAAAATAGAGATGTGTGTGTGTGTGTGTGTGAAATGAATGAAACAAAGAAACTTACTTGCTAAAGATTAGGCCTTCCCTCACCAACAGTGCATTCTCAGAACATGCTTCATGGCTAATGAATTTTTATACATCATTGTTATCTGCACATCTATATTACTGGAGAAGTCTTAAAGATGCAAATAGAGTTTGCTCAAGACATACCATTACCAGGTTCTCCGACACCAAACATTTTACCGTGTCTTTAAAACCAGGCCTCAGGTTTGCAGATTTGCACCCTAGGAACCTGCCTCCCCTTCTTGAAATTCAAACAAATATTTACTGGTTGTGCAGTGATCAGTGAAGCAAAGTCCAGGCTGTCCTGGTGGGGTGAGGGTCTGCTGGCGACATTGTTTTGAAAATGGAACTGTTGCCAACCCAAAGCGATCAGCGACTCCACAGTGTGCTTTGTCGCCTTCCAAGAGACACCCAGGGACTCGAAAGTTTATTCCAATTACAACGGCTATGCTTCAACCCCCTAAGAACTCTTCCGGAAGTGTGCTGGAACATGTCACACACTCTTTCGAAAACCCCCCATGATAGAGAAGTTTCTTGCTTCTGAGGAAGATCTGAGTTTCGGAAAGAGTGGAAAGTCCTTTTGAGTCAAGTCTGATGAATAAGGTGAGTGATCTGGCTGGGAGAAGCCATTTGGAACAAGAGTGAGGTCTGGATATAAAATCACAAAACTGCTTTGATTTGTCTATGACAGGGCATGTGTGTGAATATGTGATTTGCACACTAACTCATAGAGGTCGTTCTGAAAGTGACACTCTTCGAAGATCAGGAGTCAGTACGGGGTGGTGGGAGGAACGGCATATCCGTTTGAGGTCCTTCTTTGGAGTGGTCAACTGTTATTTAGAGATGCCCAGAAAACTCTATAAACCGGGTATGAGATCATCACCTTGGAACCCACTTGGTGACCGAAAGCAGAGATCCCATCAGAGCCTGGAGTGGAACCCACTCCGAGCCCAGGCCTTGGGCTACACACAGGTTTCCATGTCCCCTCAGGTGGCAAGGCTGGGAGGGGGCCGGGCGTCCCCCTTCCCACCCCTTCCCCAGCCTGCTGGCTTGTGGGCTCTGTTGTAAATGACACAGCTAATTAAGGAGAGTCCTACCGCAGCTCTGGGCTGGAACTGCCCGAGCGGGCCAGCCTTCCTTGTTCCACAGCTTCCAGAAGCATCCATATTTCAGGGGTTAACAGCTCATCTGTAAATAAAATAAAATATCCTCTGGGCTGCAGCCAGGTAGCCAGGCCCTGCCTTTGGCCTGAATGTGATTAGGAAGTCGTCAGGATGGAGGCAGGGAGAGGGTGAGGGGGTCAGCGGGAGGAGGGTTCAAAAGGAGATTTTTAAGACCTCTGAGGAGGGACTTTGGTGATTGATTTCCAAGAGGGGTTACACACCACACACACACGCTCTACCTCCCTAGCCCCCCACTTTTGAAATTAAGAGACAAAACCTCATATAATAAATTAACTGCTTACTGCTCGAGGCCCCAGAGAAGAAACAGGAGGGCAGGGGCACCAGAGAGGCCTTGGACTTGGAAAGGAAGGTGGACGAGGGTACAGGAGGCAGCGGGGGGTGTGGGGGGAGGGTAGTTGTCAGGTTCTGCCCCAGTTGTGGTCAGATCTCAAAGGTGACACAGAGAAGGACACAGCAAGCTAGCAGGGACCCTGTCTACAGAAACAGAAAGGCTGGAGGGAGGCAAGGTGAGACCACAGGGGCGTCTCCTTGAAAACAGTCCATGCAAAGCTGTTCCTTTGATGAAACATGGCTATTGTTTTAAGCCCCCACCGAGCTATTTGCTTGGGCTTCACTGTCATTTTATTTTCTAGACCCATTTTGTGTTGAAGCCCTGTGCGTCTTCTTCAAGGGAGACACGAGCCCTGACACCGCTGCACAGACCCCATCTGATCCAACTTCAGCAAGAAGCCATTGGGCTCTTGAGAATGAACTCAGTAAGAGGTAAACTCGTCATTATTCCAGTAACGGTCAAATAGGCAACAGTCTCCACCCCTTTCCTGCGAACCTCAAACCCTTCAAAGGCAAAAGGTTGCTTAATAATAACAATAATAATAATAAGGCGACTTCCCTGAGGTGTAACACATGCTCACACAGCCAAAAAGCAGCAGTCACAGCAGCTTATGTTTTGTTTTCATTTCCCCCAATACTCTCGGCATGTAAGCAGGTGGTATTTTTACGTCTATCTTATATGTCTATCTATTTAGTCTCTTTAATAAGCTTGGAACAATAACGCATATGGGTTACATTAAGGGCTTGAAAATTTTTCTCACATCCAGCAACACAAGAAATTGTTCCCACTATATCTCACTTGTCTGCTTGTCTGCTCCCTTGTGAGCATTCCAGCCACCTTTCCTTTCTTTGCCCCAATTTCAGCATGTGGTGAAGGCATTAGCCAGGGTCACATTATTTTCCGGTTCCAGTTAGGTGAGGAAGAACAGTTGACTGTACTTTTGAAAGTGCAGTCAGCTTTGGAAATTACGGTCTTTCTTTCTTTCTTTCTTTTTCCACAGACGGCCCATCTATCAGAAGCCTATCATTTCTTAGACCTGCGTAGGACTCTTAAAAGCCAACATCTTTAACAATTGTTTTCCTACACGTCGGCGACAAAGAACAAAAACAAAGCGGCACACCCACACAGACACACAACTCAGGCGCTGCTAATTCTATCACCTTCAAAATATTTCTAACAAATGATTCCTCCATCCAGAGGGGCAAAGGAAAAGTTCCCCAGGGCAAGGGCTTGTCGAAAATTGAAATGTGTGTGGGACTTTCCTGCTTCCATGAAAAGATTTCTAAGATAGGCGCAGAAAATGAACTTCCGATGATTGTCTCCACAACATGAATGTGTATCTTCTGTGGGGAGAAAATCTGTAACCTCATCAAGGAGTAGAATTCAAATAAATTTTCATTGTCCCACTGCACAAAGCTAAGCTTAGACGAATCCTAATTTGTTATTCATTCTTCTTGTTTCATTCATAATTTGATGCTAAACGTGGTGACACAGCAGTGTCCCACAAATTCGATGGCCTCTGCCCTCATCTACAAGTCTTGTAGCCACACAGGTTTGGCTTTTATACTAAAAAAATGTTTTTAAGCTTACAGAGGTGCAGCATAAATGGAGACTGAGGAAGTTCCTTTTTCTATTCCCAGTGAGCCAACGTTAATTTCCCTCTAAAATCACTTTTTACTTTTTTTTTTTTTTTTTGCTTTTTTTTTCCACTTTGATTTTCCATTCAGGCTAACTGGGCTCTGCAGTATTTCCCGAATTTGAAGCAAAAATTCATCCTGACGAATGCTTTCGGTTTAAAACTAATGTTTGCCCCAACTGGGTAGCTACCGCAGATACCAAAAGGCTTTCAGAAAATATTCCACAACCTGATTTTTAATTTCCTGCATCATCAGCTACTTTTATGATAATATTTAATCTACTGAAACAAAACCAGCCTGGGGGGCGGGGAGAAGAAAACAACAACAAGGAAGAGAAGGAGAATTTATTTTTAAGAGCCCGTTCTCAAGTAAGGTGGCTAGTGAGAATCAAAACAGCTTCACCTACAGGGACTAGTTCTCTGTCTCCCTCTTTTTCCTTTCTCAATTTTTGCCTTCTTTCCATTTATTTCTTTCCTCTCCTTTTTTTTTTTCTCCCAGTGGCCGAGCGAATCACGTCCAAGATTATATTTCACTATATACAGCTAATGGGTCCCAATAAGCAAAAGGCTTCAAGAAAGAAACTACCCCCCCGACCAAAATTTGAAAAAAGACATTGCAGAGTTATTAATTATATAAATAAAAATAGTCAACTGTGGCCCAGATGTGCCAGACCCCAAACTGAAAAGATGCCCGGTGAGTGCGTCACCTCAAGAGGTCAAGTTTGGAAAATTTGGCTCGGGTGCCCCAAGGGCCAGGCCACAGTGGTCATAGTGTCATTATCTGTTAAGTCAGGGAAAATCGGGAAGAGAGATAGATAATAAAATGCCTCAAAATTCAGGGGGCTCCTTTAACTCGGGCACCTCAAACTTTTTATTCCAGAGCCCCTTGTTTTAGAGAAGACTCAGACAAGAGAGAAATCTGAGGGTTTTGTGGGTCTCTATTTTCCTACGTCTGTTACACCACATTTCCTAGAACGAAGCACTCCAGCGAGAGACAGTTAAGCCTAGCACAGTGCAGAGGAAAGCATTCCTGAGAAACCGTGCCCTAAAGAGGCGACTGAGCCAAGCCAATGGCCCCCTCCCTTAAAGGAACTGCTCCCAACCATAAGGTGAGCCCCCCCGGAGGAACCTTTACGGTTGTAAGCACTGGCCTGGATCCGGCAGCTCAAAGCCATTAGAATGGGCCCTTCCTGAGTGGGAAGACATTTCTGGAAGTTTTGCTTGTGTCTTTGGGAGAAAATGGTCCCTTCCAGGAGCACTGTGCTGGTGAATCCTTGTTCAGCAAAGTAGGAAGTGTCACTGGAGCATGAGCCGTGACAACGGGGTGTTCGTGCCCGCACATACCCCGTCCTCTGCCAAGCAGCTGCTGCAGCTGCAAATTGCAAGGCGAGCTCCAGAAGATGAAAAGAGGCCAAGAGACCCGCAGTCACAGCGGCCGCGGTCATGGACCGCTGGGAGAGAAAGTTCAGGTTCTGGTAAAGATGTTTCCCTGGAAATGAAGGGGAAGTTTCCTTTAAGCTCCGTAATTAGCTTGTTGGAAAGCTCTCTGATTCACTTCACCCTAACTCTTCCTATCATGAATTTTGCATCATTCTATGCACAATAATGCACATAAAATTAAATAAACAATTTAATTAATTTAATTAAAATTAAATATTAAACATATTGTGTATAAGGAACCTGCGCTTTTGATTTAATTGGGCGGGAGTACCCAAAGCAGTTTGGGTAACAGCAGAAAATAATTAAAACCAACAAGTACGTTAGCCTCTGGGTACAAGAAATAGTTGGGAGCCTCCTCTTGAGAAAGGTTTATTTAATTAAAATTAAACTAATCTTTGGAAAACATTTGATAAGCATTTCATAATACAAATCATAATCCAAAAAATGAGGCTCAGCCTGCCTCTCCACAATGCAGGAAAATCATGTTAAATAATTTATCTCTGGCAGCAGCTACTTTTTTTACACACACACCCAAACACACACACGCAGTCATTCAATACACAATATGTTTGCCAGGTTCGAATTCTAGGTATCGTCCGCGTCTTCCAGAATCTAGATAAACATTAGCAAAGCGCACTAACACATACTATGTCCATGGTGAGAATGGTGGAGACTTGGTGCTTGATTTCAAACTGGGTGTGGATTTTCAGAGCCGACCAGCCCCATCGAAAAATATTTTCATGAATTTATTTAAAAAGGAAGAGGCAAATGATTTGACAAGTCAATATCTTCGTCTGAGTGCTAATAGAGCTGCAAAATACAGAGGGAGCGGGGCCCCCCAGTCATCCTCAGATACATTCAGTCCACAAGACAGAGAGGTTTAGTGCTTCATACCAGGAGAGGAAGACCGTTTATATTCCCACTTGTTTCCTTCCTCCAATCGGTGTGGCTAGACCTGTTACCCAGTTGCACAGCGTCGGATAAGATTAGACACAGACCACAAAAGAAAGACAGCAAGCAGGCCCATGCGCATGGCTCCCCGGGAACTATTCCCAGGCCCTGACCTGCCAGAACCCGCAGACATCCATCCACTCTTCTTTACCAAACTAAGGCGCATTTTGACACCTCTAGCCTGAGCACAAAAATCATCAAAATCTGCTTTGCGGACCAATTCCAAAGTTACTGAACACTTATGTTTCGGCTAACAAGCGCTTTTAGGCATAACTCTGAGCCTAAATCATGTAAATTCCAATTGTCCATCCCTTAAACATCCGGCACCCCCAAAGGAGGAAAATCAAAGTTAGACCATCCATTTGCCCAAATACTCTCCACTTCGATTTCAGTATATAGAATAACTGAGTCTTTCAGAGGAGTTAAGATATTTCCTTATATTCTAATAATTCATAGTGGATAAAGCAATTACATTAACCTCAAAGACCTGCTAGTACGTAATACTGCTTTTTGTTTTATCTTTAGAGCAAAAGATTTTCTCTACCTATCCTAACACCAAATCAAATTCTTTGATGATCATATGTATTCTGAAAATCATTGCTGCAGATTAAACATACCCACAGGTGTCACGCACGTAGAAAAATCT